CTTAAATAATTTTAAGCCTGAAAATATACTTTCTTTGTCCGAGTTCCGCTCCAGCTCGCCGTGTCCGTCTCCAGTCCGTGACGGAATTTTCTTCACCAGAACTGTCGGCGTGCAGCCCGAGTGATTTGAGAGCTCGGAAACGAAGGTCCACTAGGTAGCGCGCACGCGAGCGCTGTCAATTGAGTGTATTTTGAATGGTTTGCGCGTTCAACTGTGCGCTAGACTGAGCGGAACGCGGAAAATGAAGTATACCTGGGTCTTTAACATTCTTAATCCTTTTACGCTCACTTCCAATAAGCACTGTATTCTGACTTTCTCTATCACCTAGCTAACACTGTTTATTTAGTGGTTTCTCAGGAAGAAACGTGAACATACAAACAGCAGTCTCAGAGAGGAAGATGGACACGAGTGTTCAATATGAGATTCATGCTTAAGAGCCATACAGGGCTGCAAATATATACAGTTTATACATGTACATACGAAAAGAATTATATTAACCGATAGCAATAGCAGAACTTAACAGTTAACACAAAAAAAACTACAAGCAAATAAATGTATCCATTCTTCATGTGATAATGTACTCTGTGTGTGTGTAAGTCTACAGATCACAACTGGTCTTTACCAACTACAGCGTGAACAATAGCAGACTAGTTGTTGGTGGTTCCACGGCAACATTTGAACAAAAAATGCACACAAATTGTTCTGAGACTTCGGGAACTGGATAGGTTGACTACATTAAGAAACAATGGTAGATATAAAACAAAAATTTTTTTTTTGGCTGATGTTTTAAAGGTAATTATCTTGCCCCTCTGTTTCAGTAAACAGGGCTGTTCCTGATGCCGCAGCAAAGCACCATGCTGAAGATCATCTCGAAGATCTAGAAAGAAAAAAAAAAAAAGAGTAAAATAAGGGTAAAATGTGATGCAAGCAACATCAGACGCTAATAGAATATAACTTACAGTAACACACAGGCCCCTATACAAACACACTCAGACTCACCATGATGACAGCCACAACCAAGGCAGCAATGCCAATCAAATAGATCTTCTCAGAGAAAAGCTCTTTGATCTTGGAGTGACAGCTCTGAAAAAT